AAGAGAACAAGGAGGCTAGAGGGGTGACTCACCAGTTGAAAATATATATTGTTCTTGATAAGAATCCAAGTCAAGTTCCCAGACTCGCCCTGGGCAACTTACAACTGCCTACAACTCAAACTCCAGGGATCCACATCTCTGACCTCTATGGGCACCTGAGTCCATGTGTGCATACATACACATAGACATGTCACTTAAAAAATAATAATAAATAAATCTCCTTTTAAAGAGAGAGAGCTTAAGTTGGCCAGATTGCCAGTTGTCCTGAGAACTTTGTGTCCCCTGAAATAGAGATGCTAGATGGTAGAAAGCATGAGAAAGTCGGATGCATTCCATGTTCACAAGTAAAGGATGGGCATCACATCACATAGCTCTGCTAGCCTCTCTACTCAAATCTATGCTAAAAGCAGCAGAAGCAATAAAATTACTTGCCCACTCCATATCCTTTTGCAGGCAGGATGGATGTAGATACCCAAGCAAGCTCTCAGACCTTTAGTTTACAACATGTCTCCCATGCTATTGTGGGTGTGGTTGGGGATGTGGATTCCCACTCAAACCGCCATGAGATGAAAAAGTAGCGGCACGTAAGCCTGAATAAAAGACATCCGCCACGCTCCCCAGCCAAAAGAAGGCCATTTGTACTTCCTTTTCCTCTGGCCTTGAACACATTAAGAGGAATGGATTCCTCAGGAGCCACCTGGGCCTTTTAAAGCCAGATCTGATAAGTGGGAACATTTTGCCATGTTTTGAGGATTTTTTTTTTTTAATCTCTACCAGGTTTTAAGCAGGACCAAGAGGACTCAAACACATACAAGGCTTATGCCGTGCCCACAGGAGGACAGGCTGGGACAATAGGGTCTGAAGGGTATGTCCCAACAAAAGCACAGAAAGGAAAATCAGAAAAACATGAACGAACAAAAAGTAAAAAATTATATGTACTAGAACATCCAGGTGCATACCGTTTCCAATTATACTTGTGTGGTGTGTGTGTGTGTGTGTGTGTGTGTGTGTGTGCATGCGCGTGCGTGCATGTGTGCGTGCGTGTGTGGGTGTGTGTGCGTGTGTGTGCATGCATGTGTGCATGCATGTGTGCATGCATGTGTTTGTGTGTGTGTGTGCATGCGTGTGTGCGTGCATGTGTGCATGCATGCATGTGTATATAAAATAGTTCTATCTCCTGGATCTTTAAACTGTGCATGGCTAGGGCTGAAGCAATGGCTCAGCAGTTAAGAATATTTGTTGCTCTTGCAGAAGACCCAGGTTCAGCTTTCCGGCGGTGATGACCTCCCTACAAGAACATGCCTCTCCCAAAGGATCTCCTTCATCCCTCTCCAGAAGAGGAAAAGAGGAAACACAAGAAAAAGCGCCTGGTGCAGAGCCCCAATTGCTACTTTATGGATGTGAAATGCCCAGGATGCTACAAAATCACCACGGTCTTTAGCCATGCACAAACGGTGGTCTCGTGTGCTGGCCACTCCGCTGTCCTCTATCAGCCCACAGGCGGAAGAGCAGGGCTGTCAGGAGGGTGAAGCGACACCGAACAGCACCTGATTCCAGCGGAGTGGGAACCATCCCAATAAACACACTTTGGATAAAAAAGAAGAAGAAGAAGAAGAAGAAGAAGAAGAAGAAGAAGAAGAAGAAGAAGAAGAAGATGATGATGATGATCCAGGTTCAGACTCAGGCTCGGTTCCCAGAACCCACAAAGTGGCTCACAACCATCCAAAACTCTGCTCCCAAGGGATGTGAGCCCTCTTTTACCTCTGTGGGTACCGGGCACGCACAAGGTGCTCACACATACGTGCAGGTAAAGCACTCACATGCATAAAACAAAGAGATCTAATACTAGGTTGATTTTAATGTGCATGGATGATGGCAGATGTTGTTGTGTATATGTTTCCCTTATTGGTTGATGAATAAAACACTGATTGGGCAGGCAAGAAGATAGGCGGGGCTAGGAGGTGAGGAGCAGAAAAGAGTCGACACGTGAGCCTGGGAAGAGAGGACACGAGTCAGGCATTCTCCGATAAGACCATGTAGAAATACATAGATTAGTAGTTATGGGTTAATAATTAAGACAGAACTAATAATTAAGTAGTTATGGGCTAATAATTAAGACAGAGATAATAAAAAGCCCAAGCCACCAGCCAACAGCTTTACAACCAATATAGCACCCATGTGTTCTTTTGAGAGCAATGAAGGGGCCTCAGGACCTGGGGGGACAAAGAGACACTCCCTCAGCACATGGCCTTCAGCCAAGTACTTCCTGTCATAGGAATCCATTCTAACAAATCGATTACAGGTACGAGTAACAATTAGGATGCAGATTCCCATGGAAACATTAGCTGTAACAGAAAACACTGGGAAGAACTATAATTTCTAGCAAATAAGGAAATGAATTTTCAATTAGGATGGAGTCTTATGAAGCTGTTGAACTAGGATACAGACATGGCTTCACAGACACGGAACATGCGAAGGACAGATGTGAAGTGCCATTAGCATTCACGGGCCACCTGTTGGCGGCGGATAGCACCCGCTCAGCACTTAAGCTCAGAAAGCTGACGACTGACAAGGAAAATCAGAGGTTAGGGATGTGTTAAGGTAAGCAGTAACACTAACGAGAAGCACAAGGCACCTGGGAATAGTGGCGAAGGGAATTAAGTAAGTGTGGAGGGGCCTGCAAGACTCTACTAAGGGTGGAGAGGAGCTCGGCAAAACGGAAATGGGAAAGAAAACTATTCCAGACTAGTAGCAACTTTTAAATAATACATAGTTTATTAAAGCATGGCTATTCGAAGATATGTGAACCCATCTATATTGAGAGATAAGTTATATATATAATATATATGTTAGGTACATATATATTATATATATAATATCTGAAAGAACAGTCACTTAAATGCTATAGTGTGTTGATTTAGTTTAATTTTTTTACCTTCTGCTTGCTCCTGTTTTTTGATTTTTCTCTCTGTAATCAATATATGTGGAAGGTATCTGAATGGATGGGAGGAAGGGTGAATAAAGGATGAGGGATGGGCGGTAACCAGGTCAATGTAAGGGCGTGGGCAGGGAGAACATTAGACCATGTTCCTCTGGATTCTCTCCTCCCTTCAGTTACTAGAGGCCGAGATCTGTCCTAGGAGCATGTGCTTCCCCGACTGTCTCTATTTCCTGGGGTATTTCCGCTACCCAACAGTTCAATCTGTTATATTTCTGAGCAGATTCCTGTGTGGGCACTGAACCACACATACAAAGAGTGACTGACTGAGCTGCATACTGAAACTGTGGCTGAATAACTATTGGAGAGAGTTAAGTTACTCCAAATTAACTAGCTGCAGGCAAAGGCAAGATGGGGAAGTGGATAAAGTCCTCCAAGTTAGAGTTTGAGAGTTTGAGACCACTCTAAAGGACGGCGGAGAGTCAGTCCCAGGTGGCGAGCACAGCTGGGTTTTTTTTTGTTTTTGTTTTGTTTTGTTTTGTTTTGTTTTGTTTTTCAGGTTATATGGTAATAAATCCTGCCCTGGCTGGAGTGAGACAGGACGCCTGACATACTTCAACCAGTACACAACTCCAAGCTGATACCAACTCCTTCGTGTGATGAGCCAGGGGATGTATGCGTGGGGGGTTCTCGCAGGACCATACCACGGCCCTTCCAGCCAGGTCGCTCCTGCCCAGCTGTGCACCACAGTAGGGGCAAATCTGATTCTGCTGAGTGGAAATGTTTGCCTTCGCCATCTTTGCAAGCTTGTTCTTCCTCCCTCCACCCATTCACTTTTCCTGGAGTGGACAGTGTGGACTCGATACTGACGGGCCGTCTCCTAGGCACCTAAAGCTCACCATCACATTCCCAAAATACTGCTGTCCCGCTGTGAGCATTTAAGATACGGTGACCAACAGGTCAAACAAGATGCCCATCTTCACAGGAAAAAAAGGTGGCTATAGTTTGTTTTGGTTTTTTTGTTTTTGTTTTTGTTTTTTGTTTTGTTTTGTTTTGTTTTGTTTGGGGGGGAGGGATTTGTTTAGTTTTGTTTGTTTTCGAGACAGGGTTTCTCTGTGTAGATCTGGCTGTCCTGGAACTCACTTTGTAGACCAGGCTGGCCTGGAACTCACAGAGATCCACCTGCCTCTGCCTCCTGCGTGCTGGGGTTAAAGGCCGCCACCGCCGCCGCCACCACCCATCTCGTGGTTGTTTGTTTGGTTGTTTGGTTGGTTGGTTGGTTTTGTTTTTAAGTGTGGGATGGAAGACGGCTGATGAGGAGCTATGGTGAAGGCAGGACAGGGCTTTTCTGAGGGGGACACACGTGCAGGATGAGAAGCAGGCAGCTATGTGAGGGCCAGGGCACAAGTGTGACAGACAGCAGGGCACAGGCCAGAATGCAGGGACAGGGACGCCACAGCAGGCTTGGTGCCTCACAGGTGGCGCCCTCTCACAGCAGTCACCAGAGCACTCCATGTGCACCATACACCAAAGTGCTGCAGATGACAGCTCGGCCTGTGGCATTCAGGGACCACGGCCAGGCGAACGTGAGTGAGACCCTTAGGCAAGCACACTTCTTCCGGGAAAACTCGGCGAAGGTGTGGAGTCACGGCAGACATTGTTCTTCTGCCATCACTTCTGGAGGGTTCCACACCTTTAGAGAGACTACAGGAGGCCCCTGGCTCTTGCCTGGGGGAAATGACCAGAGATGAACAACAACAATCCTGGGGCAGGCCCAGCAGACGGTCAGAGGTTCGCACTGTGAACAAGCTGCCCCACACGGCTCTAATGCCAGTGCCAATGCATGAGACTCACGGGTCCTTTGATTCTACCTTTGTCCCCAGTGGGGACCGAAAGATTACATGTCCAGCTGGCTTCGGTCCCTTCAAGTTCTCCATGTACAAAGCTCAGAACACAGATGCTCCTCGTAGCTCGGCCTCTCCTCCCTCCCCCATTCCTCCCCCAGCACAGGCCACCTGGGTGTTCTCCCGACGCCTTCGGTTACCGTGTGCCCTCTCCGTACCTGTGAACATGGCACAGAAGTAAGGGCTGCAGGCTGCCAAGACCACACGGTGGGCTTCTATCTCCACGTCTTCTGCCACGATCATCACGTCACACAGCAGCTGCTTACTGTAAGACACCAGAGAGGCCTCAGAAAGGGTCACAGCGTGGACACCCACCCCCCCCACCCATCCCCCTGGGGTCAATCAGGAGGCTGGCACAGAGATTCTGTCTTGACACAGCCACGGAGTGGGGCTCAGTGACGTTTCCAAGTCCCTGACAGAGCTAACGGTCATACTTTCCCACAGTACCAAGAGAGGCCCAGCTACTCCATGACCATTAAGTCCACCGTGGCTTCATTTATCCTCATCACTCTGGTCCCCAGGTTATGCAGCAGTGAATAAGGACAAGACTGGCTCAGGGCTGACTTAATGCCAAGGAACGTGAGCACGTCACCAAGGTGTGACAATAGCAAGACCGGATGCTAGCAGTTCCCCTAGGGCTCCACTGCAAATGCAAGACTGGTAAGAAAGAAGTCAGACTCAGGTGCTTTTCCTCCCACCCAGACTTAACACCATCACCAAAAACCACCCTGACGCACAGCACTCCCAACAAGCTCAAGCAAGTTCCCACTGCCGCAGTCCCTAGGAATCTCGCCTGGGCTGCAGCCCAATGATAGTACACTTGCATGGGTCCACCCTCCCCAACTGCTATATAGGGAATGTATATATGTATATAAGTAAATGCACACGTATATGCATATGAAAAGGGAATGTATATGCGTATATAAGTAAATGCACACGTATATGCATTTGAAACCATTGTCTGGGGCCAGGTAGACAGCTCAGCAGGTGAAAGTGCTTGATGTGCAGGAATGAGGGTTTGGTTCAAATTCTCCAGCTGCTACATTAAAAAAAAAGTCAGGTGCGACCATGAGCATGCCTGTAACTCCAGAGCTTGTGAGTGGAGACGAAGAGAGGAAGATTACTAGGGCTTAGTGGCTGCCACGCTAATGCAGGTTCAGTGAGAGACTATCCCAAAAGATACAGAAACATGGATAGGGTGATTGACAAAGTAATAATACCTGACGTCCTTCTCTGACCTCTGAATAAAGTCTCATGCACTCACATGCACACACACACTCACACACTCACACACATTCACATACATACACACATTCACACACTCACACACATACACACCACACACACATACACTCACACACACTCTCACACAAACACACACACATATACACACTCACACACATTCACATACATACACACCTTCACACACTCACACACATACACACTCACACACATACACACTCACACACATACACACACTCACACACACACAAATACACACACTCACACACATACTCACACACACACATATACACACACATTCACATACATACATACATACATTCACACACACACAAATACACACACTCACACATTCACATACATACACACATTCACACACACTCACACACATACACACATACACTCACACAAACACACTCACACAAACACACACTCACACACATTCACATACATACATGCCTTCACACACTCACACACATACACACATCACACATACACACACACTCACACACAGTCACACACTCACACACATACAACACGCTCACACACACACAAACACACACACAAACACACACACAAATACACACACACTCACACAAACACACACACAAACACACACTCACACACATTCACATACATACACGCCTTCACACACTCACACACATACACACATCACACATACACACACACTCACACACAGTCACACACATACAACACGCTCACACACACACAAACACACACACACACAAATACACACACACTGACACACACACATACACTCACAAACACACACACACACGCAATCGTATGGGCTGAGGATATGACCCAGTTGATAGTGTTTGCTATGCAAGTATGAGAGACATGAGTTCAGTCCCCAAAAGTCACTTTAAAAGCTACATACCATGATACAAGCCTCCAATGCTAGCACTGGAGCAGTAGAAATAAGAAGACCCCATAAACTTGCTGGCCAGCCCCCCTAGTCATATATTCAAGCTCCGAGCTCAGTGAGAGACCTTGTTTCTAAAAATGAAACATAGATGTATACCGCACTGCCAACCCGCCAGACAAGATACGCTCACTGGCGCAAAAGTGGCACAGTGGTTATGGGAGTAACTGCTTTTGGATGTGAGGTCTACACCCGGTCAAAACCCATGGCTAAGGAGGCTGTAGGTTCTAGGAGAGAACCTACTACTCCGCTTTGCAAAATGGCATGTTATCCAACTGTCTTCTAAAGGTGCACACTTATAACCACAGTTTACTGCCACCATCAATCGTGACCACAGAAACTTCTCTCTACAGTGGTCAACAGTTAATGCAGACACTCACAGCCCTAAAAGGGACATCCATATCAGTCCCTACCCGAAGGTTCAGGGGACATCATAGAAGAGGGTTAGAAAGAACGCAGGGCTTGGAGGATGAGGAGAGTGCTGTAAAACTCTGTCTTCAGAACATGCGCATGGCCTTGCTCTCATGAGCTCGCTGCGGATACGACTACTCAGGATTGACTCAACAGTGTAAGTCAACAGCAGCAGTTATAACAAAAAAGGAGAGGGCAAGAAGAAGACATGAGGCCACGCCAGACGCTCGGGAGTTGGGAGTGGAGTTTGGGTGTGCATAGGATCGAGATACATTGTTTGCACGTATGAAATTATCAAGCAGTTGCAGATATTCTATTAAAAGTAAGATGGAGAGCCAGGCGTTGGTGGCACACGCCTTTAATCCCAGCACTAGGGAGGCAGAGGCAGGCAGATCTCTGTGAGTTCGAGACCAGCCTGGTCTACAGGAGTGAGTTCCAGAACAGCCAGGGCTACACAGAGAAACCCTGTCTCGAAAAAAACCAAAAAAAAAAAAAAAAAAAAGTAAGATGGAGAGAAGTTAAGGGAGATGTTCAACATTGACCTCTTTGGCCTCCACACATATGTGCACACATGTGAAGACACAAGAACCTGTGAAAATGCACACACACACACACACCAGAATCTCGCAACCTTCATTTTACGTGGCTGTCACTGCATGTGATTTCGTACCGTAAACACTAGGCTACATACCTACGGCAGAGTAGGCCCAACATGCTTTCAGACAAGCAAATACATGAAATGAATCAATCCACGTTCATCAACAGAATGGGTCAATGAAGAACTGGACTTGATGGCACATGCCTATAATTCCAGCTGCTCAGGAGCCGGAGGGCCTCAAGTTCAAGGCAGTAGAGTAAGTTCAAGGCTAACCCAGGCAGCTTAGTGAGAGCCTGTCTCAAAACACAAGGTAAAACAGGCCTCCAGGGATAGGTCAGTGGAGGAATGCCTGCCTCATATATGTAAGATTTGGGGTTCAGTGGGGCTGGGTGATGGGGGGATGTCCTTCTGTATGTATGTTTCTCTTATTGGTTGATGAATAAAACACTGATTGGCCAGTAGCCAGGCAGGACGTATAGGCTACCAGACAAGGAGAATTCTGGGAAGAGGGATGCAGGGAGGAGCCGCCAGAGAGACACCATGTAGTCAATGAAGGAGTACCAGGTCTGGACACTCTTCAGTAAGATAAGACCACGTGGAAATACTTAGATTAATAAAAATGGGTTAACAATTAAGAGAGAGATAGCCAATAAGAAGCCCGAGCCATCGGCCAAACAATTTACAGTTAATATAAGCGTCAGTGCATTTATATTTGGGACTAAACAGCTGCAGGACCATGGGGAACAGGAAACTCCGTCTACAGCTGGTTCCCCAGCACCTTAAAAAAAAAATGGATACTTGAGCACCTTAAGGTACCACAAGACATTGCCAATCCCAGAGCTTTTTCATCAGCCTTCCAAGTTCTTACCTCACCTCTCGCTTACGTAGTAGACAGCATTTGCTGAGAGATGCCAAGTTCTTTTCTAAGCACTCTGCCCCCCCCCCAGACATGATTTCATTTAATCCTCTCTGCAACTAACTCACTGAAGTAAGGCTAATTGCTATGCCTGCATCCTACAATGAGGGAACTGAGGCCCGGAGAAACCAGTGAGTTTCTCAAAGGCACAGGAGAAAATGAAGATGAGATCTTAAGGCGAGTGCACAAATTCCCCAGGCCCCTGCTATGATACCCTTGTCACCACTAGGCGCTCCCTTAAAGGGCTAGCACAGGTAAGAGGTAAGAAGGCAAGTTCACCTCAGTTTGCTCATGCTGGCTTCTATCTGAAGATGTTGGATCCATGGGTCTGTCGTGGCTGACAGGGGGAAGAGACGTTATGCGTTTGCTATCTCTGGAGCAGTACATTTAGCCATGGTCAACTACCAATGCACTGTCTCAGTTTCTCTCAGAGAAACAGAATCATAAAGCCTGAGACAGCAGGAACTTCAAGCGCTCTTGCTGGCCTTGGGCAGCGTTTGGCCTTCGAAACCCAAAGAAGGGAAGGGTTGCCCAAACCAGAGAGCTGAACCCTGAACAGAGTTCCCTAGACTGTAAATACAGTGTTTTCTCCAAGGTATCCCCGGGCTTCATCACTGGCTGGCACTGAGGGACAGAAAACACAAGGGTTGAGTACCAGTGGCAGGGCTTCTGGGCCTTTGGGAACCAAGCAGCGAAGACCATCAGGACCTCATTCTGCAGCAGCCAGCACAAACGGCCACAGAACCAACTCTGCCCTAACTAGCCGCAAGGACATGAGACATGAGCAAATACGTCCCCGCCATTTTCTTGACTGCCTTAGCTGGGACTAACATTGTGGGGCCCCGTTTTGAGGCCACTTTGGGTAAAACAGTGAGACTGTTGTCTAAAAATAGACATTTTTTAAAAATATGGGAAGGAACAAGAACCAACCCTGAATATACTAACATAAAAACGGCTGTTGTGATGGGATCTCAGTTGTGAACTAGGATCACCTGGGAGGTGGCCGTAGGCGCAACCAAGGCGTGTTATCCTGATTGGGTTGACTGAGATGGAAAAACCTGCCCACGCCCACGCCCACTGTGAGTGGCCCCAGGTTGGGACTCTGGACGGTGCGAAAAGGAGAAAGTGAGCTGAGCGCCCCTGGTTCTTGGC